TTTTTTTTTTTTTTTTTTTTTTTTTTTTTTTTTGTTAACTGTATATCTGAATTAAGACACCAAATTATTCGCCATATACATTGAGATTTCACTTTTGCTATTACCGATTCAAAACCTTATAGAAATCATTTGATGAACAAACGTTATCACACTGTATACATCAGTTGTACAGCGTAAACATCAATGTCTGCTTTTGCATAAATTAAGCTATCAATGTTGCTTAAAAATTGCTTTTACCAATTTAGTTGAATTATGATATATATAATATTGATAAATTTATATCTTATATTAAATTATATACCATATTCAAACTGTATTACAAATGGAAGGATTGTATTCGACCCGACAACAGCATCGTCAGTTGCATTAGTACAAACTTGTAAGTTTTGTACTAAATATTAATGCTACAGTAGCCGGCAATAATACCACAATATTATTCTTATTTTTCCTTTGTTTTTCTATCTCTTTTCTGCTTTCAATTACTGCCTGTACACTTAAAGATTGCTTATCAATTTTTTTTTTCTTGTTTTGCCAGATACAAGTCAATGATTGTATCAAACAGTATAATATTAAGCAGATATTTGTAATTCAAAATGATTATTAAAGCACAGTTATTACTTGTATATTTATTTGCTGTGCCAATTGCTTTTTAACTGATACTATCAATAAAGTATTTTTAATTTAGTTCGAAGATCACGTGCAGTTCGTTCACATGGCTATCGATCAACCAACGAATGTACCGGTTCGTTGATATCTAGTCAAGTGGTTATCACTGCTGGACACTGCATAAAAGGCTGGAAAGGGTATATGAGAATACAGTTTTTAGTGACATTAGAAAACAAGATATTCAATGATTGACGCAGTTTAGCCAAAACTATACTTTTAGCCATGGACTGCTAGTCAAATTTTTAAACCGACGAAAATTGTTATTATTCCGACGAGTTAAAGCTAGTCGAGTGTTCCATCAAACTGTAAGGATTTCCTGGGATTAATAAAGAAATTCTTTGAATAGTGTGTGCTG